CCCAGCTATAGACAGTGAACGATCTTGTCAGTTTTGTAGTATTTGAGAGCGTGAAATCTGCAGCTTGCACTGTATGCTTCCGCTTAAGACGAGAATGTTTCTGAGTGTTCTCAGAGGTTCTGCTGCAATTCCGGCCAGTTTGGAAATGTTTTTCGAATATTTGTCTTTTTACTCAATACCGTATATGTCCATCCAAAAATATTCTTATGAGTGGATTTTATGGAAAAAACTTTTCACTATGGAAGTCACCAAATTTTGCCAGCCATTTTCTCGCAAATTTTACTTCTGAAACCAAGCGACCCCTATCTCCTTCAATCGCAAATATCTGGACTTCTATTCAAATAGATGGAAATTTTTTCATCAATTGCAAGACAAATGAACAACCTTAAAGATGATACCAATAACTCCATGATTCAAAAGTTAACGAGTGCCTGATTCCAGCGAGTTTTTGTTGTTGTTTTATTTTGGTTTTATTTTGTGTTTTTTCTTATGTTTTAAAATGTTGGACTTATTCCAGCTAACGCATAGCCGACGATATACAAAGCGACACAATCACACTTACGGGCAAACAAACGGACAAACATTTAAACGTAGTCACCTCCATAGTGGGAAAGTAATGTACTTACCAAAATTCGTTTGAGGGCAGAGGCGAAGCGTCTATATAATCAAATAATCACTGCTTCCCTTCCTAATTTTGAAACATTGTCGCAGTCAAATTCACCAATAGACGTAAACCTCATAAATTAAATGTAAAAAGACATTCATAATCACCAATGAACAATAGACTATGCCTAACCTTCAAAACCGTTTCATTGCCACAGAAATAGCCTGTTCGCCCCTATCGGGCCACTCCATAAGCAGTCACAAGCTTTGATTAAGTAAGCATAAAGTGAGGCTGGAAGAGTCAACCAATAGATTTGAAGGGAACATGTGCATAGCAGTCAGAACTGTTTCATTGTCGCATATACCCTGTCCACCCCTTTCGGGCCACAGTTATAAGCACCCAGACGTGCTGATTATCTAAGCGAACTATTACACTGGTCGAGTCTACCTCACAGATGTGAGGGGAACTAACTCCTTATAATCCTTTGACTCCTGCTACTACACTTCCATAAAGTCTTCAAGTCCCGCAAATCGCAATTTTCTGTGATGACAACTTCTTTAATCCCCGAAGCTTGGGATATATCGAGAGTGATCTTGATCTATCAATGTCAGTTTCTCCACACCTGGGCTGTGCATCACCTAATTCCGCATGAAAAAAAAATAGATAAATAATATTTCTTTAATGAACTGGTAATAAGCTGTGCAGATCCGATCGTTCGTCTCCTACCTTGGAAAAAATACTTTGTTATTGAAGGTCACAATAGATTTTAGTCGAACTGGACAACGCCTGTAGTTGCTTTTTTCCCAATCCATGGAGAAAAATCAGGCAGGCCGCAACTCTCTGGGCACGGGGCATTAATGTTTCTAGTCCGATTTCAATACATCCACCAATGTATAATTAACGAGCCACCCGCGTGCATGTAGCACTGCAGCCTAGAACTAAGGGCTTAGACCTTCATGCACTGCTTCTGACCTCCATTACAGTGGACACTAATTGGCGAAGGTCTCGGTGTAACTACACTTTAGGAACCTCTCTACAAAGTGCACAAAGAAATAAGGAATTCCACCTTATTTATCCCCGTGGACGATGCATGAATAATACACGATAATCACAAACACGGACAAACCACCATTACGCCAATTTCCAACCCTTTGGTTTTTTGTTTTTTTACCTTGGGGAATTGTGTATCGTTCAAGGACAGACCCTCGAGACCGCCGTATAGCCGGGTTTTTTTGTTTTTTTTCATATTTCAGTTTTGTTTCATTTCGAGTTGTTGGGGGGGGTTTGCTTTGTTTTGTATTTGTTTGTTTTGATTGTTTTGTTTTTTTGGTTTGTTTGTTGTTGTTTTTTGCTGTTGTTGCTTTTTAGTTTGCATGTTCTAGGTTCTACTTGATTCGCGATTTTTGCAAAAAAAATTTCCGAAAGAAGCGTTCAACGTCACTTGCAGCTCAGTTAGCTGATAAAAGTGCCGGAAATTAGAGGTGTTGTAAGAGAGTAGCAAACACAAACAAGAAGGAGGAGAGATAAGGACAACAGATCTTTGATAGGATGGAAGTAACAAACCACACCAGAGCACCGCCAACAACCAAACGCAATTTTAAAGGAACTCTGCGGCTTCAATTCGTTTGCTATAAATTATGTTAAAAAGAACACACCTGCATTAGAGCACAGATACACAAAATATTATTATGTCAGTTGGCGACTCATAAATGTACAAAACGCGCAACAATAACAACAACAACAAAATGAGCGCTCTAAAAAAAAGAGAGTGAAAAAAACTTTAAAAGATTTTTAACCCCTCTCCCCCCCCCCCTTTAAAAAGAACAAAGATGTACAGTTTCCAATAAGAACGCTACAGAGACTTTCGCTGGACATTATAGAGAACCTGAGCTCACAGCCAAAAACAAGGAGAACAAGGAAAAGACAAGAACAAGAACAAGCAAAAGAACAAGGGCAAAACAAGAACACATGGAGGAGGAAAAGGAGGAGGAGGAGGAGGAGGAGGAGGAGGAATGGGAGGAGGAGGAAGAAGGGGGGAGGGAGAAGGATATGGAAAAACGATCAAGAAAAAGAACCAGAACAAAAAGAAGAACAACAGTAAGAAGAAAAACAAGGAAAACTAGAAAACAAGAATACAAACAAGAACGAGAAAAAAAAAAAACAAGAGCAAGAATATCAATAATTATAATATTGTTTTCTTTTTAATAACTAGATAGAACAATAACAAAAATTATAACAGAAACAAACAAAATAACAACAACAAAAAGAAGAAAAATAGAAAAGAAAAAAACCCCAAAAAGATATCAATAATAATACAATGCATTTGAAGTCTTTTTGATAACTGAAAGGAACAAGAACAAAAATATATCAATAATTGTTATCATAATTTCTCTTTAATAACTAAAAAGTGAAAACATCAGAGGTCACGACCTTTCCCCTCTCTGAAGCCACCCGACACCCGGCTGGCATACACACGGTTGCTTGTCTGCCACTCCCACAGTTAGCAAAGAAAAGGGGGGGGGGGGGG